CATTCACCCCTGAAATGAACTATTCCAAAAGTTTTCATTGGAATTGTGTCTTCAGGGGTGAATGATTTAGTAATTGACGGAAGCCCTCCACCAGAATGATCATTTGAACAGGATGACCTTCATTATTGAGGAACAAATTTAAATTGCATTTAAAATTTTTATCGCGTTTCGTTGCAAGTTCATTGCTGTACCGTGAAGTTTTAGGGGGTTGTGAGGGGGTACAGGTGAGGAGGTTTTGTGAGAGAATGCAGTGATGAGGCGATACATACACAGAAGATCTATCTGGAATGAGTGTGTACTATTGTGTGGCCCAAACTACTTCATCTTAATCCAGTTTATCATTCTACATATCCTTGTAATAAAAAGTAGAAGAAGCCGGAGATGAAAGGCCTGGCCCATGGGGTTGTTTGTTCTCTTGTTTGTAGTAGGCCTTGTAACAGTACTGCTATAGAGTTGGGGGTAAACCTGGTTCATCCTGTAGCAAATCAGGAGCAAGCTAGTATAAAGGAACACTATACAGCACATCATAGGTTCCAACAGATAACACATTCCTGTCTGTATTGATCTATTTCAGGTATACTACTTTTCAAAGAGCTGAAGACTCCAGTCAGTTTTGACTTTTGAAATCATGAGCAATCTCTACATGTTACCTATTGCTCGCATTTAATTAAATCTTTGCAAAGAACAGTTTTGAATTATGGTATTGTACATTATTGTGTTGTGAAATAGTTACTTATTGTTCAAATTTAACTACATCATTGCATGGAACAGATTTAAATTATGGTATTAATTGTACATTATTGTATTGTGAAATAGGAGTATTTTCAGAAATTTATTCTCTATGAAAATTTGAAAGGTTGGAAATGATGTATAAGGAGGTATTTCAATTTTTTTTTTTTTTTTTTTTTTTTTTTTTACAATTATGATGATTTATTTTACCAAAATTTTGATGAGACATGTATACACTTTCTCACTCTCTGCTGTTTTGTTGGCCTCACATGTTATAACTCAGTCCTCACACTCGATATCAATGATTATAAAATACAGTATGACTGATGTAGGAGGATGTGTCCATGTCATTGATAAAAAAAACATTGTTAATATTGCTAACAGAGTGCAGGTTGAGGTATTTCACTCTAATTATTTTGACAGAATCTCTGCTTATTTTCAATTTAGCCAAACTTTAGGCATACTTTTACATTATTTAAAAAAAACCAAGTTATGTCACTATCTTTTCCTCCAAATGTTGAAATGTATTTTCTGAATTTGCTGATATTTTCAATGCAATATTCAAAATGATAAAAAATTATTGAGATATAAAATGGTCTTTGTCATAAATATAATAAGTCTTTCCATATCTAGATGCTAGTGGTGTAGCAATGTCATTTATTGCTATATTGCAAATCAGGGTTGTATCATTAATATATTTATACATGATTTGCCTGAGCAATATATATCGGCAGCAGCATACTTTTTAATTTGACCTAAATTGTCACTGAAGTGTTTGTATTCAATGAAAAAAGTTCTACAAATCAAGCAATTCAAGACACTGATCAGCATTGTTTCGCACTTCACTTCAATTACTACTGGCCTGTTGTATTTTATTAAGATAATAGAATTGTGTCACCATATCTCAGTAGTATTTCTTCAAATTTTGTAGTTATATTGCTTTGAAGTAAAGACAATTTTCTGCCACAAAAAAAATATAGGTTGTCAGAATTTTAAGGATTTTAAATGGAAATTCATGTAAAAAAGAGTAAATTTTGAAACACACAATTTTTTGCCAAATAATGTCAATAAAAATGATACTGACATAGATAGGTATTGCAATTACTGTATATCAATTTCATAAATGCTGATATTGTGTAAAATCAATTATCTATAAACAATTAAAAATTGACATTTTATGATAAAACCATATACACATAGTAATTGCATGTAAGAGTTATTGTTCTTGAAAAACTTCACAGTAGTGAAATAGGTAGCTGGTTTCCTGAAGTACAGTAAAATGGACACATGTGACTTATTGATTAAAAAACAACTGAATTAATGCCTGGATTGAACACACTGTTCTGTCAATAAACAACACACAATATTCATCAGTTTATATTAAACATTAGAATATGCGGAAATTGTGAAACTGTCTCCCTACATTGGGTTTTCAACTAGAGATGTACTTTCTATTTCCGCTTAGCAATACACTCCTATGACCTTAATAATCTTTTACCTTAAAACAGTTACATCTGTTCCTCCTGGTCTAGTCAGACTAGAACTGAATGTTGTTGTAAGCTTCAATACATTGCTAGACTCACATTTTATATTTTTCGTCACTTCTAAACATTCTTTTTATCCAGACACAAAAGTTGGCTGCGTGTTCCTTGTAACATAGAAGAGGTTGCTGAAAATACATCAAGTAAAACCAATACATTTTTTCAGCAGAAAAAGATTTGAATTGTTTTATCAATAACAATAGGTATATGATTTAATGTGTGATGTCTGGGATGTTGGACGCCTACAAACGGAACCTTAGTGTGATAAGTAATATTGAAATGTAGGATCTGTTGCCGACATGTCTGTGGGGTGTCTACATCTCTAGGGTCTGCTGATTTGGAATCCAATAGTATGAGATGTCTTGTATCTCGAGTGCAATATGTCTTTGACCATAAATGCAATGCATTTGAACTTTTAGTATGAGGTGTCTTGTATCTCATTGTCTTGGACTTCAACCTTGAGGTGTCTAAGACTTTAAATGTGAGGTATCTTAGAACTTCAAGATGTCTTGGACCTTCAGTGTAAGGTGTCTTAGACCTTCAGTGTGAGGTGTCTTAGACCTTCAAGGTGTCTTTGATCTCCATTGTAAGATGTCTTGGACCTTCCATGTAAGGGGTGTCTTGGATCTTCAGTGTGAGATGTCTTGAACCTTCCATGTAAGGTGTCCTTGACCTTAAGTGAGAGGTGTCTTAGACCTTCAAGGTGTCTTTGATCTCCATTGTATGGTGTCTTGGATCTGCAGTGTGAGGTTTCTTGGACCTTCCATGTAAGGTGTCTTGGACCTTCAGTGTGAGGTGTCTTGGACCTTCAGTGTGAGGTGTCATGGACCTTTCATGTAATGTGTCTTTGACTTTCAGAGTGAGGTGTCTTAGACCTTCAATGTTAGGTGTATTGGACCTTCAGTGTGAGGTGTCTTTGACTTTCAGGGTGAAGTGTCTTAGACCTTCAGTGTGAGGTGTCTTGGATCTTTAGTGTGAGGTGTCTTAGACCTTCAAGGTGTCTTGGACCTTCCATGTAAGGTGTCTTTGACTTTCAGGGTGAGGTGACTTAGACCTTCAATGTTAGGTGTCTTGGACCTTCCATATAAGGTGTCTTGAACCTTCAGTGTGAGGTGTCTTGAGGTGTCTTGGACCTTCCATTGAGGTGTCTTTGAATTTCAGTGTGAGGTGTCTTAGACCTTCAGTGTGAGATGTCTTGGACTTTCAGTGTAAGGTGTCTTGGATCTCTTTTGTAACATTTCTAGGACCTCCAGTGTGAAGTTTCATGGACCTACCTGTGAGGTGTCGCAGTATATATAGGTGTAGTAGACATTTAGAAATCAGTATGAAGAATACATAACTTGCAGTGGTAAGTGTTTAAGACCATCATGTAGAGGTGTCTGGTAGGCGCTTATATAAGTCCTTCTTGAATTATTCAATGTGGCTTACCATGTTATATCTGTGTTGGATATGAATAGATAAATTAAATCTAAAGAATTCATTTGTGAAGAAGAATGCAAAAAGATTTAAAATTTAAAATATTTTAGTTCGTAAAAAAGGTAACACATCAGAATGTATCAGAATGTAAACTTTTCTTTAATGAATAGACATTCATTTTAGGTCTGCATCATTCTGGAATAGGTAAACCATGTAATTTTCAATGTACATATCCTTGGCCCTGAAGGCAGCATATCGTGTTTCAAAAATGTGTTTTTGCCAGAAATGTAATCTGGTGTCCCATAGCTAGTCTTGCAATGTGTCGCCAAATATACCAGGCAACCTTTTCTGGAAATTGGCTTTCAACTGATTTGTTAATACAAACCTGCCAAAAATAATCTAATTAATGGAAAAGCTGCAAGCAGGATGCATATAAAAAGATTTTGTTGCATGCTTTTTCGACCATCCTTGGTATATTTTTTCCTGTAGATTTTCACTTTATGGACAAATAATTTTGCTCTATTTTGTACACTGTCATTAAATACATTTCCCACTAGACCATATTATGATTATAAGATTAATTAACCAGGGTCAATTTCACAGTGATATATCAAATATTACTTTTGGATACACTGACAATCTTTCGTTGAAGATTCTGAAACATTGTACATGTTCAACAACACTTTTTTTATGCTTGACTCTAGAATGGTTCATGCAGGTCATGCAAAGTGCTAAAATTGAAGTCACAGTTTTAAAAGTACTGGAAAAAAGGTCTTTCCTGGATTTTTTTCAATATTCATTAAAATATGCATATTATGAGAGTATTAAAATGTGTTCATTTCAATGAAGGGATTTTTCAAATTTTGGTTCATAAAGAATTGTTCCAAGTTTTGCCATTGTCAATTTTGTTTTTAAATCTGTTGTGAATATTTTAAATTTCAAATCTGAGGCACTTTTTCCCAAAATCTGGACCTGGAAAACTTGAAGAAAGGTCTAAATTGCTTAAAAAGTCACACGTACGAATTGTTCACAATCGGGACACTTTTTGCAATACTGTCCAGCTTCGTTGATCGAGCCGCTGGTAACGCAGCTGTCTCCTAATCCAGCCAGTTTTACAGGGGAATGAAAGGTGGCTAGATTTTAGGGGCTCCACTAAACTATCTTGTTTGTTTTGGTATGAGAATCCAGACAGAGTACAATTAGAAAACCGACCAAACTGGAGGTACGGCAGACATGTAGTATATAATCAATACACAATTTCTTGGTACGTGTTCTGGCTTGTTATTAGTCTGTTCTCCTGTTTTATATTTGCAGTGTTCTTCAAACAGTTTTGAAGCGGCGATCCTCGGAGAAGCCCATGGTCTTATCACGGACATGCTTGCGGATGTGTCATTGCCACCTAATGTGATCAGTGGCTTGAGAACTCTGGGAAATCTTCTCAGACCAGCGGAGAGTCATTCGTCGTTCCACAAACCCCGAGTCAGTCCCCTGGTGTCCCTGACCGAGTCAACCAGCTACAGCTCTGACAATGAGGAGAGTCCGTACACGGGGGAACGACCCAACATGTTACCCAAGGTTTACATCCTTACTTGTACTCTTGTAGGAAATTCAATCAAGGTGGTTTGAATAATGATTACAGAATTTCTGCCAAATAATGACTCTTAACCCTTTCACCCCTATGTAATTTTAGTAGACTCTACAATGCATTGATCTGGATGAGTCCATTATGGTCTACAGTGGTGAAAGGTTTAAGTACAGCAAGGAATGGACTCCATTTAGGCAAAGTTGAAATTCCCTCTTATAATCCTACATAAAATTCTTGGCAGTGTTATTCATAGTTGTTTTTGAAAATGTTAGGATTTTGAAATTTTGAGTACTGTTTATATTGCAGGCAGTTTCGTTAGGATATTATATCATATAATGTAGTAAAACCAGATTTTATGGTAAGGTAGTTCAGTCTGCATTAAGCCTAGATTTGACAATTGTGAATTTGATGAATGTTATAGCAGATTAAGGTAGGGTGCCATTAAGCTGTCCCCTCTGGTTTCCTTGTTGTTCAATCGTCTCTCACATCCCTAGTCCTAGTTAACATGTCCCTCCCTCACCCTTCACATTTCCAGTCCTAGTCAGGTAGAAAACGGGATTAGCTTTGTCCGAAACAATCATCAGTGATCAAAGCGGGCCAAGGGATCGGTTGCCATATTGATTGGAAGTAACTGCTTGATGGGGAAAATATTCCCTCAGATAATACATGTTATTGAAAGATAAAGTAACTAAATCTGGTTTATCCAGCATGTCGATTATTGCAACACCTCGGTCAGCGGTAATTGTATCGATAACAACCTATGTCTCATCAATAACATTGTACCTACATCTTAAGTAGGCTTCTCCTCAATGTTGCACACAATTCCCATTTAAGTTCTGATTTAAATTTCAGCCGATTTCTTTACTCAGCAAAAGTACACTTTGAAACTGGCATGATAGTTATTATTGCATTCTTGACGGCCCATCAACACAGAAGAGGTCATTATTCATGTCTCTATATATTAAAACCAAGAAATAATACTGCTTCTTTATATTTTCAAGTCAATTTCTGGTTTCAAATCATTTTGAGGTCTTTTGTAAGATTCGCTATCAACAGTCAGTCATGGGAAGTTTATATGGCTATTTGAGGTTTTTAGGATGTTTATAAAATTGCAGAATAATGGGATGTCTATAAAAATTTAATGGTTTAGAGGTATAACTTATGTACTTTTTAAGGATTTATAGTTTAGTTATGGAATTTTTATAGGGATTTAGAGTTATAACTTATGGGGTGTTTATAAGGATTTAGAGTTATAACACAGGGAGTTATGACATGCTATTGCAATGTTTATAAGACTCAATGTCTATATAGCTTTAGAGTTACATTGGACGTAAATAAGACATTATAGGCTGTTTATAAGGATGCGATCTCATTAATGAGGTGTTTATTTTGCTGTAGGGCTTAGGAATTTTCTTGAGGATTTTTGAGAATTATTCAGAATATTTGTTTTGGAGAATGATATCAAAATTCACCAAAATATTGTATATCGCGACTTTTGAAAATCATTTTGGAATTCCTATGCATGTAGATTAATACTGAATAACAATTTTGGTGAAAGATTCTAGATGAAAGATTCCTGTTAACGGCTTACTAGGCTTACCAGCATTGGAACAACTAGACCCTGGTGTATCTCTCAATGACCTCATCAAATATGCATTAGATTGACATCAAGTATCGATCAGTTTGTGAGGATCATGTGGGACACGCTGAAGGATGAACATCTCGTCACCGTGATTAATTTTGACGACAAAAGAATTAGGAATAAAAAGAGACGGTCATTATCACAGAGCATACGTGAATGCACGCCAGTGTAATTCAATAGAATTTGGGCATTTGTTTATCATTCAGTCATAAAATGTCGCAACAAATGTCTTTCAGGAAATGTAAGATAAAGTGATGCCTACAAATTTTCGACAAAGAATTCTAACAGGCCAAACCAGATCTGACTTGCTTCACATTAGGGGTATGAAAGGAAATTCAGGTTTATTCAAATGATGGAGCAAAGGTCATAAGAGGCTCCAGAAAGAGGCCAAAAGGGGATGATTTTGTGAAATATGTAATAAAAAATAAATAATCTTACAATGTTATACAATTGTTTCAACTTTAATTTGGTATAAAAAACAGGAATCAAGGTTGTACATTTTGGACATTGGTTATCAAACAAATTTGAAGTATTTCTCTCCTAGTGCAGAAGCTAATTGCAGTAAGGTTTGAGTATGACAGGAATGAAGTGGAGTAACTGGGTCTCACACTTATGATCTTTTTTTAAATTGAAGCAGAAAACATTGATCCTTTGTACTTCCTTTATACATCCAACAGAAGCACGACCTGATTTTGTCAATAAGAGTAGCGTCTTCAGAAACAGCGAAGATAATTTTGTCTGATTTCCTCACAAATGTACTGCTGATAATCATATGATTTCTTTTTGCATCAGATGCAGAGAGATACACTCAGATTTATCTATAGTGCCTTTTGGTTGAAATTATAACAATAGGTGTAGCTGCGATATGTCTTTCCAAACTTTCCCTCAGTATTGTCCGATACTTTGAAACTTGAAATTTCTCAGTGGGGTAATTTTTTTGAAGTTTCAGTAATTAATCCTTTACTGGTACCTGTGTTAGCACTATTCTTTTTAAACGTAGGGTTCCCAAATTTGGATGCACAACGGTACATGCAAATAGCATGAAGAAATATGGGTTTCCTTTTAATTTCTTTTGATACAAAAATATGAGCTTATGTGGCCATTGCATGTAGTTGTGTTAATATATTACCGCTTACATTGAAAAAGTATGATCTTGACTTTAAAAGCAGAACATGTAAGCCTGACCTTTGATACTGTGAATCATTTTGAATTTCATTTTTATCATTACAGAAGATGCGTAGGAGTCTGCCGCCAAGCCTGATTCGACGCATGTCCACCAGTACCTGGACAACCACCACCTCAGCAACAGGCATGCCCACGCTAGAGCTGGAACCTTGTCGGATCCGAAGTTCAAGCTTCCGACACTCTCGTGATGGAACACCAGCCTCCAGTCCGGTGGGAAGCCGTAGTAATAGCCCCTCCCCAAGCTCCCCAACAGTCATTCTAACAATTCCAAAATCACGCTCATTCTCTCTTGCTTCACCCTCACCTGCGGGATCTAGCCATTCCAAGCGATTTTCACGTAAAAGCATGGCTTCCTCTGTCCAGGGACTGGAAAGTTTCACTGGAAGGGGGGATAGCTTATCATCATCATCATCATTATCTTCCTCTAAACATATCAGTTCATATTCTACTAGTACTACTAAAGAAGATTCTGACTTATCCCCTTCTGCCATGGATGAGGGAGACCGATCTAAACTGCCTCTTTTTAAAGAACAGCAGATGACCTCTCTTCGCAGGCTAAACATTACCTCAGATTACGAGAGTAATGACTCTCCCAGTAGCAGTGATCATAGTGACAGTGTGCTGACCTCTGATGACCTTGTATCAGGGTCGCCTCCCAAAAGGCCCGTGTACAACAGAGGGTCATCCTCATCTCAGGCAGCTTCACAGTTTAGAAGGGTAAGTGGCATGCTTTGGAAACACACCCCTGTTAGGTCATTGGCCCTTGTTGTAGGGGTCAGTAGTTGGTCGAAGTTCATGTGTCTTTTAGTGATATGTCAAAGTTTGTATATCAGACTAGAAAATCTAATTAAAAATCTCTTCTGTCATTCAGCTGTTTTAAAATCACTGCAGCTAAAATTTTAAACATTCATTTGGAACTCAAGGTCAACTTTTTACCTTAGAATGAAATTAGAAATGTTATGATTTTGGACTCAAATTATAGTTAAGAAATACCAATTGTGGTGAAGAATGATAGATAGGATTTTAATGGATTAGATTGATGGTTGGTAGAACAGCTAGATGAGGAAGATAAGATTGATGCATTAGGAGATCTAGAGTATCTGTCATCTGTGGCTAACTTTCTGTGTGTACAGTTTAGAAGAAAAGTGTCACCAGATTGCATGGTTACTTTTCTGAGTGTATGGTAGGTAGAAGTATCTCTAGGCCAGGTCATCCTTCTGAGCATATGGTGTCGGTCAAAAGTATGTATCACTCTGGTAGCCCTTGGTGTTCTGTGTACAGTGTTCAATGGTATAGTTCACCTGGCATGGTTGATCTTCTGAGGCTATGGTGGATTAAGGAGAATCCATCACTCAAGCTAACCTTTTGAGTGTATGATGAAGATTATAATATATGTTGCCCTGGTAACCCTTTTGGGTGTATGATGTAGATAATAATATCTGTTGCCCTGGTAACCCTTTTGATTGTATGAAAAAATAAATGTATCTGTTGCCCTGGTAACCTTTTATGTATATGATAGGAGATAAATGTATGTGTTGCCTTGGTTACCTTTTTGATTGTATGATATAGATAAAAGTATGTGTTGCCCTGGTAACCCTTTTGAGTGTATGTTGATGAAGTATTTGTTGCCCTGGTTACCCCTTTGGGTGTATGTAGATAAAGTATGTGTTGCTTTGGTTACTCTTTTGATTGTATGATATAGATAAAAGTATGTGTTGCCCTGGTTACCCTTTTGAGTGTATGTAGATAATGTATCTGTTGCCTTGGTTACCCCTTTGAGTGTATGTAGATAATGTATATGTTGCCTTGGTTACCCTTTTGAGTGTATGTAGATAATGTATCTGTTGCCTTGGTTACCCCTTTGAGTGTATGTAGATAAAGTATGTGTTGCCCTGGTTACTCTTTTGAGTGTATGTAGATAAAGTATTTGTTGCCCTGGTTACCCTTTTGAGTGTATGTAGATAAATATATCTGTTGCCTTGGTCACCCCTTTGAGTGTATGTAGATAATGTATTTGTTGCCCTGGTTACCCTTTTGAGTGTATGTAGATAAAGTATTTGTTGCCCTGGTTACCCTTTTGAGTGTATGTAGATAAAGTATGTGTTGCCCTGGTTACCCTTTTGAGTGTATGTAGATAAAGTATTTGTTGCGCTGGTTACCCTTTTCAGTGTATGTAGATAAAGTATTTGTTGCTCTGGTTACCCTTTTCAGTGTATGTAGATAAAGTATCTGTTTCCCTGGTCACCCTTGTATGTATATGATAAGAGATAAATTTATCTGTTGCCCTTGTCGATGTAGGAATGCCATAACACTCGAGGCTGTTGAATGGTACAACACACTGTACCAGTACTTAATGTTTGCATCATATGTATGATCATAATATATGTACGTATCTGCCCGGAATATACGCTATGCTCTCCTCATGCAGTATATATATAAACTATACTCTTTCCTTGCAAAACATAGATATACTCTATGCTGTTTCTGTCATACCTAAATAAACACGAGTCGTTTAACGAGTTGTTAACAAACATACCCTATGCTTTGCCAGTGCTGAACATTTGAGAGTTCTGTGATGTATTCAATCTCAACTCCAATCAAATATCTCATAGATATAAACTGTTGCTGATTTTAAGTTTCCATTTAATACATTTTCCATGGCCGAAATTTGTTGGCTGATTTTCGCCCCTGAAATGATGTACAATTATTGACCATAATACTATACAAAAAACGTACACAAATGTGACATTTGCTACTTCTTCATGTAGCCAATTTTGACAAAAGTTTCTTCAACCAATTAAGTATTATTTCTTAGCCAAGATTTTTTTTATTCATTGAGTCAGTAAAAAATCTGAGATAGCAAGCATGGTCTCAAGTAAGCAGAAACATTTTGTTGTGGTTCAAATAAAAAAAATCAATCAGGTGAGCAATACAGGCCTGCCGGGCCTCTTCCTTGGCTGCCTTTGAAAATACAATACACTGCACAAACAACAAGATTTCATGGTCACATGTTTAAATAAAGGAGAGTAAAAGAGTGGTTCATTGATTGGAAAACAGACAAACAGCAGTAAATGATGAATTCAGTACATGAAACAGAACATCTCTTAAATTATATTGAATCTGAAGGTCTGTGTTGTTCTTTCTTTGTGGATGTTTATTTTTCCAATTAGAGTAACTGATTGATTGAACTGGAAACCAGAGGTATCACTACAAATGAAGGCATCATACATATAACATGCAATCTCTTTTTTCACCTGTCTTTAAATACAACTTCAAAGACACAATGATTACCCACAAGTGTGTCACTGCATGTATTTCATTAAAAAAATCAATTATTTTTTCCTGAAACATCAATTAACACACAACGAGTCTCTGTCGTGAATTTAAATTGTCTGCAAATATTAATTCCATTGATAATTACCATCAGTATTGAAATAGCACCATTTTAACTGATAATTCAAGTATTCATAAATTTAACCTACAAGGCAAGTTCTCAAAAAAGAGTTGGCATGTCGAGATAGTAACACTTTGATAAAATGCACCTCATTTAATTTGCCACCTCACATGTACTGCCAACATATTTCATTGCGCTTTAAAAAATAAAAATAAACTTTATACATTTCCCTCAATTTATCGCCAAACCCAAACCCCAAACCGCCTGCCAATCAAGGTCAACGTCACTAAATCATAGATCTCTCCGTCCTCCTACAAGTGGAGGGGAATCTCTACACAAACAATGTTACTCCCCAACGTGCCCTACTACTGAAACTAGGCAGTATTAATTTACAGTAACATTTGAAAATAGCATCAAATTATCATGAAAAATCCATACACATTGTAATTAGTGATTTTGTTTACGTTCATACATAGGTTTAAAGAAAAGGCTAAGTTTTTTTTATTTCCACAGAAGAATGTCCTCAATAATCATCAGTGTGATTTTGTTAAATTTGAACATTTCGCTAATTGTTTTGTTTTCTTTTCAATGACAAACTATGTTCATAATTATATTGCATAACAAAATAGATTAGGAAGGAAGAAAACTGCTTTCAAGAGGGTCTGGTATAGTATGATTTTGGCTGTGGCTGATATTTTGCAAACAGAATTTCATATATGGATATACAGTGGTTCAAAATAACATTTAAAGCAAATAAAACTTACAGAAGATATTTTTCCTTTCAAAAATCTAGAAGTAATTTGCAAGACTTGACTTCATTTAGTCATCATTTTGAGATGACACATATTTTCATGATTTATCTTGTTCTTTGAAATGTGAAAATTATAAAACATTTCGTTTGACGATAGAATTTCATATTTTGCCCAACATCAGTTTATGGTAGTGCACATGGTCGCAGACTGAATCAGTGCGTACGATACAACTATGCCTAATAAGGATTACCTGGAGTGCTATCCTTCCAAGATTTAATTTTCTTCTGACAAATTCAATTAATGTAGGAAACAGTGAGAATATGTTTCTGCCCGACTCCTGATTGGATTACAGAATTGCCCAATCAGAAAGAAATATTGTGTTACAGCCGTGTCTGGCTGAGATTGGAGGGTATTAGACGTTTTCAATATGTTCGACAGCCAGCTTACTAATTCAATGAGTAATACTTGGAAGATGAAAATTAATCACTATTGCCTAAAAATATTTAATTAGATTCAATGCCTGAGACACGATTGAAGAACGAATCAATAATTAATATCATAGTGAGGTTGCTTCATATTCCTTGATGGAGTTGTACCGGGAGGAAAGGGGGCTGTAAGGTTGTTTTTGAGAGTTTACGTCTTTGCAACAGCATATTATATATGGTGACAATGGAATGGGGTACTCCAAGGTTTCACACTGTCCATCTCGTTTTCTGTTATCATCTCCGTAATGTCAGGTCAGCTGAATAATTTTATGAAACTTTATAGATAGAAATTACTTAAACAGTGTGTGATGATGTACTTATGTCATGTCATATCTCTTAGAGATCCAAGCCAGGGTCAAAATTTCATAGTCACATAATCAAGTGAAAATCATCATCTCATCATTGTACATTGTACCTAATATGTATTTGTGTAATGTAAGGTTGTCTAACCAGTCAAATTTTAGTTACTGGTCACTCGAAAAGTTTTTAGACCAAGTAACTGGCTCATTGGTCACCTTGATGAACAGTAAACAAAATTACCAAAAGTAATATTCAAAACGTATTTTATCTACATCTACACTAATTATTCAAATACAAGTAGGTAAGTGATAAAGATTTATAGATGTATCGGCTATATTTTGTGTGAGCAAAAAATCTAAGAAAAGGCACCTGTGAAAATTTGATAAAGTTTTCATCAAATGGATTGAATATAACTTGGATTTAGTTCCCTTAAGTTTGTGAAGCACCCAGGGCATTTAGTGTGACAAATAATGTATGTGTACCCCCCTTCAAAATGTGAAACACCCAGGGTACATAGTGTGATAAATAATGTATGTGAACCCCCTTCAATTTATGAAACACCCAGGGCACTTGCCGGAGAAATAATGTATGTGAACCCCCCTTCAATTTGTGAAACACCAGGGCACTTAGCATAACAAATATTGTATGTGTACCCCCTTCAGTTTGTAAAACACCCAGGGCACTTAGTGTGACAAATAATGTATGTGAAACCCCTTTAATTTGTGACAAATACTGTACCTGAAATTTTCCTCATGTTTCTCCATGTCCAGGCTAATTTCATATTCTTGCTAATAATACAGTATTCAGGCTGATACATAGTGGACGTCCTGTGGAAAATGGGTTTATTCCGGTGCCGATGACCAATTAGTATGCCTCTCTGCATTCTCATATATATGGCAATGGATATCCGCCTTAATTCATTCCTACTCACAGAAAGAGAAAGGTCATCATGTGGAAGGTTTGGGGTCAGTCTTGAATCATCACAAACTCATTATGTTCAGGGCCTGATTTTATGAGCTTAACTCGTAATCTACAATTCATCTGTTCCTTTCAACTTACCCAAATTTAATCTGAGCCGAGTTTGACCAGGTAACCAAGTAAATTGCATTGTTCAAATCATCATCCTTGCATGTTTGTGACCAATATAAGGGGCAGTGTTAGAAAATGAATAAATATGCTCAAGTTTATTAAATGCCAGGGTTTGTAAGTGTGTTCTAGTTGTAAAGAATTTGTTCTTACCTTACAACACTGCTGTAATAAATTTTCCCAAAATCAGGTGAGATTATAGGCCCATTGGGCCTTTTGTGTTTATACAGGGAATTATATTCATACTAGTATTATTTGCAAAAGTTTATAAAGTCCTTATCATGAAGGAACGGCAAAAACAGGAGATATTGGTAATGTGATTGTAATCATTTTTCAAAGTTTTATCTGTGACAATTGTAATTTGTAAGGATCGTCCTGGGAAGGTCAGAGTTGAAGGTCACATGTCTCCCTCTGCCATGGTAGCCCACACCCGAAGGCCAGAATCTCTGCATGCTTTCAACAAAATGTTTGCTGCGTTGTCTTACTAAACCAACCTGAATGTAGGACTTATGTTACTGGTGGCCCTAGTCTGTAGCTGTTGTTAATTGAATTCAGATATCCTGTCAGAACAACACATTGTTGTTATTACCAGTGTAACAGTGCTGTTTTCTTTTAAAAAGTTGGATCCTTAGTAGGTAATTTGATTTAAATCAAAACTGAAGACATAAATTTCACATTTTTTGGGTGCTTGTAATATTTTCTTCAAAAATGTTGAACTCCAATTACACTGCAGAATTGGAGGGTGAAAGGTCCCGAAGCAGGTCCTATTAGTTTTGGCTCAGGTGTAAAAATATTAGATCTATTATAGGCAGAAATATTGCAGTGAAGAAAGTCAATAACACATTTCCTTTCAAACAACTTGTTTTCCTAACATATAGATGTGGCACTAACACTAATGTTCATTTTAATCAGTGTGACTTTTACAGCTCCTCATCAGCTATACATCTCAATTCATTTCCAGCCATTTGTGATTGGTCAGACATTTCTCCTATTGCATCAATGCTATGTTTCTAGCTTTGTTGTGATTGTTATTATGGTATATGTTACTTGCTTGCTCAATATGTTTAGTTGCTTCTGAATTAGACTCATCTGAATCACTGATTTTACTTACTCTTGGTACGTTTTACTTTTGTGGGATGACCCACTGATATAATACATATGCCAATGTTGAGTAACTCATTTATGAATTATATCATTATTTAGTGACTCAATTATAAATTTTCTCAATATTGAATGGCTCAGTTATACATTATATCAATATTGAATGGCTCAGTTATACATTATATCAATATTGAATGGCTCAGTTATACATTATATCAATATTGAATGGCTCAATTATAAATTATATCCATATTGAATGGCTCAATTATAACTTATGTCCATATTGAATGACTCAATTATGAATGATGTCAGTATTGAGTTGCTGCTCAATTATAAATAACGTCAATATTGAAGGGCTCAATTATCAATTATGTCAATATTGAGTGGTGCAGTTATATACAATGTCATTATTCAACGGCCCAATTATAAATTATGTCAATATTGAGTGACCTGAAGATAAACTATTGTATATTATGTAATTTGGAACTAAATGATGTCTGTTCAGTATGCTTTTGAGTATATATATCTATAATATATTTCATAAATATTGAGTGACTCATTGACAAACGTTTAGAAACTTGATAACATTAACAAACATTGAGTGACTCAATAGCATTAACAAATGTTGAGTGACTCAATAGCATTAACAAATAAACAGTGACTCAATACCATTAACAAATAAAGAGTGACTCATTACCATTAACAAATAATGAGTGACTCAATACCATTAACAAATAAAGAGTGACTCAATACCATTAACAAATAATGAGTGACTCAATACCATTAAGAATTAATGAGTGACTCAATACCATTAACAAATGTTGAGTGACTCAATACCATTAACAAATGTTGAGTTACTCAATGACATTAGTAAATGTTGAGTTACTCAATGACATTAGTAAATGTTGAGTTACTCAATAACATTAGTAAATGTTGAGTGACTCAATAGCATTAACAAACATTAAGTGTATCAATAACATTAGCAAAGGTTGAGTGCTTCTGTAATACAATATATAGATACTGAGTGATTAGCTCAAGAACAAGTTATACAAATGTTATGGGACTAAGTTGCTTAACTTTTTAATGACCAAACATGCAAATTACACAACAGTAGAGTGGCTCATGGATAAAAGATACAAGTGACTCAATAATAACTTGTAACTAATGATACATGATTCATTAATAAACTTCATACACTGGAACTTTTTGTTCAAACACTTTTGTTTCTGAAAATAGGCGTTGTAAATAATTTCTCAGATTAAAATATTTGGTTTAAAAAGATGAGGGATATTTTTCTTAACAAGTTTCCAGCTGTTACAAAAAAAATGATGATAGTAGAAATTATGATTGATAATAAAATCACTGTGTATTTAAGTTATAATATTTAGACTTATTATTACCTAGAATTAAAGAAAAAGTGAAGCAATTTTACCTTTTACACAAAAAATAACATCTTCAATACCACTTCAATTGTTATATATGAAATTTTACTGTATTTGTTTCACATAAAGGCCAAAAATTGGGATAGGTAGTGGTGGAGTTTTGGAAGAAAACCATTTGTGTCAGACATCTTAACTTCAAAATCATATTTGTTTCTGAGTGGAAAGAGTGTTGTGAATTTTATGGTGAACCTGATAATGATTTTTCTCTGTAAAGCAAAGTGTCAGGAACAGTCTGAAATATGTGGTAAGAAGTCCGTCTCAATTCATCAAAATCTGGGAGAAGGCTAGACGTTCTGATGTCCTATTGATTTCTGTAATAAAAAAAGCTGTATGTGAATCTTCACTGAAATTTATAGAGGAGAAGAAAATCCATTTGAATGTCAGCCAAAATGTTCCAGATTAATTTGACAACATTCGACAGCAGAGACCGAATCGTTACAAAGAATTAACATTTATGATCTTAAACTTCCATTAAGGTTGTCAGATTCTACTTTTCTCATCAGGGAGAATATGAAAATAATTCTGTGCCCTCCATAACATTTACATTTCGCACCTCCCAACTTGTGATAAACATGTTTATTTTCCAATAAGAGTCCACGGTTGATAGAAAAGAGGCGGACTATATCAATAAATTAAAGAGATACAAACAGTTGTGGTGTTCAATATGCCGGAAACCAATAATGGTGGTACCGTAATTATATTTGATTTCCTGAAGATACCAGCTATACACATCAATATTTGAAAATTAACTATTAAAACTCAACTTTATTGACAGATTGTCACTGATGGACAAAATTACATTTTCTGGTAAAGGTCAGGTACAGAATGAGACTTATTCTGCTGAAATAAACAACGGCTATATAATGTGAAACAAATTCATGGGGATATTCTATCCAGGTTGGGGTTCTTTATTTCTTTCACAGTATTATTATGCTTACAAACTATTTTGTTGATATAAACCTTTCATTATTCTCACAATCACTTTATTATAGTTAGGAGTTCCAGTGTATCTAGTATGAAAACTATGAAAATAAAAATAAAAATAAATGACATATATTCATCTATTTGATACTTTTACACTTCAAGTACAAATTTTATGAAATCATATCCTGCCACAAATCCTACTACAAATTACAAATCTGTATAAATCCCTAACAAACAGTAGAGACCTCACTATGGTTAGACATCCTATGCAATATTTATTATATCATCCCCCCCCCCCCCCCCCAAAAAAATATTTGAGATATACATGTAAGCACAGTGATTGTCAGCCAAATGTGACAGGGGAGACGACTCCCTTTTCAGAAATAAAAACTTTTAAGTGCTAAACCTATAAACCTATAAACCTAAAACCTAAAAACAAACAACAACATTCTGTGTTGAAATAAAACAAATTAAATAAATTCAAATTATGTTTTACATACCATTTAAAAATAACAATAGCTTCTAGTGTTGTTCTGATGTCTTTCTATCTTCTCAGATAAACAAATGCAAAGTAAAATTGTAGACTCTATATTCTTATTGATTCAGAATGAAATAGAAAATAGATAAGTTCATAATGAGAAATCTTAATCTGAAAAAATAAAATATAAATCCAATTAATTAAAAGGAGGAAATAGTTCAGGAATGAGTTGTAATATTAAAAAAAAAATTCTAACATTTTATATCGTAAAAAAAAAGAAGTACTCAATAAAATATGTGCAATAATATATATATATAAATAATAATATAAATAAGATTATGACTTAGGTCCAGGTATTTATCAAGAATACTTAAACACAAGTAACAGTAGTCTGTTAAATCTTCAGTAGAATCAGGCCCTGCTTGTATAAAACATCCCAACTCTTGAGATTTCCTTAAGTCTAAGATTTCCCTTAGACAAAACATTGCTTGAGATTTTTCTCAACTTTGAGATGTTTTAAACAAGTGCTCTGTAGCAATGAACTGTGTGATGTAAAAAATGTAATGTCTGAGCCATCTGTGAATTATAAGTGTTATGTATGAAGCACATATGTGGATTATCGTATTTTGACATTCCAGGTGGTCCATGATACTCACATAGCGGACGAGCTGGGCGTCGATACAGCAGAGGACGCAGATGAAGAAGACGTGGATGACCACGAACCTGATGAAATCCCTTCCGTGGTTCCAGAGGTTAAAAAAGACATTTCGCATGTGCCGGTACTCCCCTCGCTTATTGACGGGGAGGACCGGACGGACAGTGCTGAGTGTGCGTGTAATGAACATCTTCCATATGATGTGAATACGATTGACCAGTGTGAACTCTTACACATACATAAATTGAACGAGTGGGACTATCCTATATTTGATTTATCGGATAAATACCATGATACAATCCTCAGTCGGGTATGTATAATGTGATTGTCACGATTGTTTTTAGGTCACCTGAGCTTTGCTCAAGTGACCTATTCCAATCGCTTTTCGTCCGTCGTCGTCCGTCGTCCGTCGTGCGTCGTGCGTAAACTTTTACATTTTCAACTTCTTCTCAAGAACCAGTGGATGGATTTTTTTCAAACTTGGTCAGAATCATCCTTGGTAGATGAGGCTTCAAAATTGTAAAATTGGGATTCCTACCCCCACCCCTGGGGCCAGGGCGGGGCCCCAAAGGGAAAATTATCCAATATTTCAAAAATCTTCTTCTCCAGACTCACAGGTACTACAGTGATTTTCTCTACGTGGAAAGAAAGATCATCAGGGGCTTTACTTAAATTGTAAATTTCAGGACCCC